GGGCGATGCCAGCAGCTTTTGCAAAGCCCGAGACACGGGTGCCCGCTCCGGTCTGGTGCCCCGTCAGCATACTACCGGCGGCAAGCCGCGGCTGCTCGGCATCTCCAAGCGAGGCAACACCTACTTGCGCACCTTTGCTCATCCACGGTGCCCGAGCAGCATTGCCGTCGCTGGCGCGAAGCGAGACCCCGTTGGGGCGCTGGTTGACAGGAATGATCGAGCGAGAGTCCACCGCAATGCTATCGTCGTCGCGCTGGCCAACAAGCTGGCGCGGATCGCATGGGCGGCCTTGCGCAAGGACGCGACGTTCGAACGCGGCTACCAAGTCGCGGCATAACCGGATCGGCCGCACGCATCTTCGTGCATAGGCCAACGATGTTTGCAGGAAGGATCGTGAAGATGGCCTGACGGTCGATCGGCGTCTGGAAAGCCCGGGCAAAAAAATGGCACTCGTTGCCGGCGTCTTTATTGTGGCTCCAGACGTGCGGATGTCCATCTTGGCCCATGGGGTCACCCATGAGACCGCATACGTTGACGCAGACCGATCAGAACACTTCAAAAATCCCCTTGCAGACGGGCGGGCCGCGTTTTTTCTTACCCTTATCCGCCCTACCTAGCGCGGGACGGATGGACGATCAGTATTTGCCGCCCAGCAGCGCGCCGGCATCCGGCAGGCGACGTTCCAGCCCCAGCCGGTCACATCTGATGCGTGGTGCAAACCGCCGCAGACACGACAGGCACACCGATCCGATCCTCCAGCCGCTGGATGATCGGCAGCGATGGCATCCGCACACAGGCCGACGCAACGAACACGTCGATCCCGTCCCGATCCACCTGCTGATAGATGTCGAGCAGCCGCTCGATCGTGGCGGCCGACGTCCAGATTGTCGGGTATCTCCAGCGCCGCGAAATCGCGAACGGCGATCCCCCATTCTCGATATAGTCGACCACCAGCCGGGTGAGCGGCTTCATATAGGGCAGATGATCGAGATCGTCTTGGCGCCCATCAGCTTCAGCCCCTCGACCAGTGCGCCGGCGCTCGTCACCACCGGGGTCGGCGCGCGTTCTCCACGGTCCGCTCGTGCAGCCGCCGCGCCGACTCGCGGTGATAACCAGGCCCCCATGCCTCGCGATCGCGACGAGGCAGGCATAGCCGAGCACGTCGACCCGGGCGTCGGTGAGTTCGATCGCGCAGCGGTCGCTGTCGCGGTCCATCGCCTCCAACTCCTCCTTCACCACCTTCTTCATCCGCATCCGGCTGGAATGGAAGGTGAAGGCCTCCAACAGCACGGCTTCGCGCGCGCGCAGCATCGCCGGGATCTCGGTTTCCATGGTGGTGTTCGACGACGGCACGATCTGGCTGATGCGATAGCTGCGCTGAGTCATGGCGGTCCTCTGGCGGGTCAGGATGAAGGGGCGTCGGCGAGCGCCGGCAGGGGCTCGGCCTTTGTTTCGGCCGCGATGCGGACCGGCTGCTGCGGCATGGCGTTCACACGCAGGTCGAAGATGTCGAAGCGGTTATAATGGCCGATGATGTCGCATCTGCTTGGGCTGGATGCAGCGCGACAAGTCGATCTCGGCATAGACGATACCCTCCTCGTCGATCAGCGGCGCGCCGACGGTGCGACCATCGGGGCCGAGGATGCCGGAAAAGGCGCTGTTCTTCCGCTCCAGCCGCGCCCGCGCGTCGGGGACCAGCGTCTCCATCGCAGCGATGATCTCCTCCGACACGGTCGAGCAGGAGACGATCGTGAACAGCTTGCCCTCGAAGCAATGCGCCGCCGCGCGCACCCGAATCGCCTCCGCCATGTCATATAGTCGGGCGGCGCCACCGGCAGCGCGATATAGCTGACATGCACCAGTTCGCCCTGCGCCAGCAGGGTAAAGCGGCGAGCGTGTTGGTATTTTCCCGCAGGCGAGTCCGCCGAGCGGGCTGATCGCGGTATCGTACACCGTCAGCGTCGATCCGTCGCCATGCGCCCAAAGCCAGCTTTCCGCCTGTGTCGGCACCAGCTTGCGGTGCTTTCCAGATTTCGCCGTCGGGGCCGATGAACAGCATCGTGTTGTAGAGCGTGCCGAGCGACACTGGCTGCGCTCATTGACGCCGATCACGACATGGACGCCCGCCTCCCGCGCGACCGTGCAGAGTTGGTCGACCTCCGGCCCCGGCACCATGATCGAGGCACGGACCAGCTTTTTCGAACCACGCGCTTCCCGCGACCGGATCGACGATCCAACTCCACAGGGATAGCCGCCACGAACACCTCCGGAAGGCGACCAGCGCCGCGCCGTTCGCCGCCGCCTCGCGGATCAGCGACGCCGCCTTGTCGACCGTGGCGACGGGATCGAGGATTGCGCCGCCTGCACGGCGGCGGCCTTGAAACGGGGCAGGTTCAGCATGGGCGAGCGATCCTTCCTGAGCGATCCGCCATCGATTGCCCGGATTGACAGCGCTTGGCAAGATGTTTTAAGCCTATAACAATATTCCACGAGAGACGGTGCATGGCGACGAGGCTTATGACGCATTCCGCGAGGACGTCGCCGGCGTGCCAATGTCGGCGATACCGCCGAACTGATCGACTTATCGCGATCTGGAAGCCCAGCACGCCGGCGCGCTGTGGACCGTCGCCAACAAGATCGAGCCGTGGAGCCGAAGTCGGGCTCCCAGCCCGTGGTCTGGCATTACGACCGGCTACGCGACCATGTGCTGCGCGCGCTGGAACTGGTCAGCCCGGAAAAGGCGGGGCGTCGCGTCGTCTATCTCGCCAATCCGGGCCGGCGCGACGTGTCGGCGGCGGTCGGCTGGCTCTATTCGGGATTGCAGGTGATGGGTCCGGGCGAGGTCGCCTCCGCCCATCGCCATTCCGCCTCGGCGCTGCGCTTCATCATGGAGGGGTGTGGCGCCTTCACCAATGTCGATGGCCACAAGATGACGCTGGGTCGCAACGATTTTGTGCTGACGCCCAACGGGACGTGGCACGAACATGGCGTGACCGAGGACGGCACGGTATGCATCTGGCAGGATGGGCTCGACATCCCGCTGATGAACGCACTCGACGCCAATTTTTACGAGGTGCATCCTGACCTGAACCAAGCGGTCGGCTTTCCGGTTGACGATTCCACCGCGACATGGGGCAACGCGGCGCTGCTGCCCGCCGGGGGAAACTGGTCGAAACGCTATTCGCCGCTGCTGAAATATGAGTGGGAGCCGACCTGAGGCGCTCCTGCGCTACGCCCGTGCCAGCGACGGGTCGCCCTATGACGGCATCCATATGAACTATGTCAATCCTTCAACGGCGGCCCGCCCATGTCGACGATCGGCGCATCGATGCAGTTGCTGCGCCCCGGCGAGCACACGCTGGCGCATCGCGAGGTCGGCAATTTCGTCTTCCAGTGCGCCAAGGGGTTCCGGCCACTCGATCGTCGGCGGCAAGCGGCTCGACTGGAAGGGAGCGCGACATCTTCGTCGTGCCGTCTTGGATGTGGCACGAGCATGTCAACGGCTCGGCGAGCGAGGACGCCTGTCTGTTCTCGTTCCACGACCTGCCGACCATGCGCGCGCTCGGCCCTCTACCGTTCGGAGGGGCTGGCGGAGAATGGCGGCCCGGCAGCCCGTCCTTCGTTGATCTTTCCCTCGTATTCGAAAGGATTTCCATGCGTCTCGTCACTTACCGCGCCGGGATCAAGCCAGCTCGACTGGGCGTGATCGTCGACGGATCGTCGTCGATGTCGCACGCCCGGCGCGCGCGCCGGCGTACCGCTGCCAGCACGGATGCTCGATTTCATCGACTTTGGGCCCGGTGGCGCTCGCCGAACTGGCGGCGCTGCTCCAGCGAGGCGAAGGGCCGCTGGCCAGGTCAACGGCGCGCTGCCGCTCACCAATGCGCCTGTTTCGCGCGATCCTGCGCCCGCGCAAGAACGTGTTCGGCATCGGTCTGAACTATATCGACCATGTCGCCGAAAGCGCGCAGGCGCTTCGACACCTCGCCCGACCTGCCCAAGCAGCCGGTGATCTTCTCTGCCGCCGACCAGCGTGATCGCCCCAGAATGACCCGATCGTCCACCGCGCCGACATCACGCGCCAGCTGGACTGGGGAGATCGAGCTGGCCGCATCATCGGTACCACCGCGCGCCGCGTCTGCCGCGAGGACGCGCTAGCGCATGTCTTCGGCTATACGCTGATCGACATGAGCGCGCGCGCGACTGCCGCCGGGCAGGCCAGTGGATCTATTCCAAGGGGCAGGACAGCTATTGCCTGATGGGTCCATGCATCGTCACCGCCGACGAAATCCCTGATCCGCAAACGCTCGACCTGTGGCTGACCGTCAACGGCGTCGAGAAGCAGCGCAACAACACCAGTCACATGCTGTTCAAGGTCGACGAGCTAATCGCCGACATCAGTCAGGCATCACGCTGGAGCCTGGCGACATCATCGCCACCGGCACGCCTGAGGGGCGGAGCCGGCCGCTCGCCCACAGGAATGGGTCACGCCCGGCGACGTGATCGAGGGCGAGGTCGTCGGCATCGGCCGACTGCGCCATCCCGTCGTCGCGGGGTGACAGCGTGCCGGGTGGAGCGCCGCTCCACCCGGGCATTCACGCCGCGACCGGTCGAGTGCCATCCGGAAATCGTCGGGCCAAGGGTGCGCGCGCGCTTTCCAGCGCCATACACACCAGCACCACTGTCGCGCGCAGCCGCGGGGCTCCATCGCAGGTCACATCGACCGACAGATGCGCGGAGCTGCGTCCGATGCGCGTCACGTCGAGCGCAAAGTCCAGTGATCTCGCCCAGCCGGCTCGGCAATACGAACTCGGCCTCCGTGCTGACGGTCGGCACACCCAGCCCCAGCCGCTGGTGCATCGCGGCGAAGTCGGTGCCGACCACGTCGGCGAACAGATCCTCCACCGCCGCGTTCAGCATCTCCTGAAATAGCGGGGGTAAAGACGATGCCGGCGGCATCGATATGCGCGAAGCGGACCTGCTGCCGCGATACGAAGGTCATGCCGTCTCCTGCTGCTCTGCCCGAGCGACGTCTTCAGCGCGGCGAGCAGATCGTACAACGCCGCCAGCTTGTCATCGGGCATCGCGGCAAACATCGTCGCGATCCAGCCGTGATGCGCCGCCGCAAGCTCCGGAAATGGCTGCGACCGCGCTCGGTCAGCGCCACGATCGAGCGACGGCGATCGTCGGGTGCCGGCCGCGACACCAGCAGGCCGTCCGCCTCCAGCTGCCGCGACCGCCGTGACGTTGCCGTTCGACACCAGCAGCGACTGCGACAGCGCGCTCATGGTGATCCTGCCTCGATGCCGCTCCAGCGTGGCCAGCACGTCGAAGCGCGGCAGCGTGGTGTCGAACTGTTCGACGAAGCGGCGTCGCAGCCGCTTCTCGATCGTCATCGAGCAACTCAGCAGCCGCAGCAGGACACGAATGTCCAGCCGCCCGCCGAGTTCGCCGTCATGCTTTTTCCCTGAACGTGCTCCGTCACGCGCACCCATTCTCGTCCAGCCGCCGTCATTTAATAATTTTTTGCTTAAACTATATTGATCCGCCCGCCAATAGGGCTAAGGCTGCCCAACAGGTTTCCGCCGGCAGGAAAAGGGTCGCGTGAAATTATACCATGAAGTGGGGATGCTCGCTGGCGGTCGATATCGTCGCGCGAGATTGGCATCGCGCGACTATGAATGGGTCGATATGGTGCACAAGCGGCTGGCGGATGGCCGAACTATCTGCACATCAATTCCGGGGGGACCGTACCGACGCTCGAACTGCCCGATGGCGAGCGGCTGAGCGAGGGGGCGGCCATCATGCAGTATCTGGCCGATCGTCATCCCGGAAGCGGGCCTGCTGCCGGCGCCAGGAACGATGGCGCGGTATCGCGTTCTGGAATGGATGAGCTTCGTCGGTGCCGACCCTGCACAAGGGCGGCTTCATGCCGATGTTCAAGGCGACGACGCCACCGGAGTATCCCGCGCGATCGCGCGGACCCATCTGGACGGACGGCTGGGATGGCTCGACGCACAGCCTAGCCGACCGCGTCTTCCTGACCGGCGATCGCTTCACCATCGCCGACGCGCATTGCTACACGATCGCGATGTGGACGCATGCCCATGCCATCCCCACCGACGGCTGGCCGCACCTGACCCCACGCTATCTGGCGACCGTCGGTGCCGCCCCAGCGTACGCGGCGCGGAAGAGACCGCCGCTGCGGAGGGGCGGCGCCAGCACGCCGCAAGGTCCGCTGTCCGGTAGGCGCTAAATCCGGCTGCCGGGCGTCCGACCAGACCGCGCTGGCGGTGCGGATACGCGCCCGACGCGGACGACGGCGCATCACTGATCGCGGCCGTCAGATAGTCCACGAACGCCCGCACCTTCGACAGCGCATAGTTCCCGCGCGAGAACAGCAGGTACAGCGGCAGCCGCTGCGACACGACGTCGGGCAGCAGCACCGATCCGCCCCGCAGCGATGTCGCTCTCCAGCAGGAAGCGGGGCAAGTAGCCGATGCCCATGCCGGCCAGCATCGCCTCGCGCGTCAGCCGGACGCTGTTCGAGGTCAGCGCGCCACGATTGACCGAGATGATCTCGTCCGCCGACAGGCGCCACTCGCCGATCCGCGACAAATGGGTTTCGAGGATGCAGAGATGCTCCTTCAGTTCCGCCGCCGTCGCCGGGCGTCCGCGCCGGTCGAGATAGTCGACCGAGGCGGCCAGCACCATTTCATAGTCGCATAGCTTCACCGTATCGAGCGTCACGTCATATGGTTCGCCGACCCAGAAGGCGACGTCGAAATTGCCTTCAGCAGGTCCGCCTTGCTGTCCGACAGGTTCGCGAACAGCCGGATATCGGGATATTCGTGCAGGAAGGCCGGATCGCCCGGGTGATGTTGAACAGCGAGGCGACGACCGGCGCATTGACCTTCAGGTCGCCGCGCGGCCGCGACAGCATGCCTGTCATCACCCGGTTCGCCTCGTTCACTTCGTCGGCGATGCGCGCGCAATGCTGGTACATCTCGCGGCCCGCCAGAGTCACCGTGACGGTGCGGGTCGTCCGGTCGAGCAGCTTCATGCCCGCCGCCTCTTCCAGCCGCGAGATCTGCCGGCTGACCGCGCCGCCTTCGAATAACCGGAGCAGGTTGGCGGCGGCGAAAGCTGCCGGTACTCACCACCGCCGCGAATGACATCATCGCGATGGTGTTTCGATATCGACCTTGTCGTCCATGATTGCCTGCGCCACTGTTACGTCCACGCATCAGCCTGTCCGCGAAGGGGGCAATATGCATTAGAATGCAATAGTCGCTTTTCCACACCCCGTGCAAGCGGACGGTCGGCGATGGGCGCAGCGACGCTCAGCCGTCGGGCGAGGCTTCCAGCCGCAACGACCTCGCCAACGATGCGGAAGCTGTCGACCCGGCCGGCACTCCGCAATAGACGGCGGCGGCCTGCAACAGCACCTCCCGGTTTCCGCGACGGTCAGGCCATTGCGCAGCGCGGCGCGGACATGCGCCAGCCGTGCGGGCGGTTGAGCGCGGCGATCATGCCCGGTTGACGAGGCTGCGACTGCGGCGGTCCAGCCCCGGCCGGTTCCAGATCCCGTCCCAGCAGATCTCGGTGGTCAGCCGCTGCATCGGCGCGCCGAATCTCCTGCCCGGCCAAGCGCGCATCGACATAGGTATCGCTCCAGCACCCGCGCGCCGCGTCCGCAACCCACGATCGAAACTGTCCTTCGTCATCGCGTCACCACCACATGCGCGGCAGCACGTCGGCGCGCCGGTCCCGGTCGAGAAGCGATGCTTCAGCGCCCCGCCGACATGCAGCACGATCAGGCCGAGCAGCGTATGAAGGCGAGCACCCGGTGAAGCCATTGAACACCGCGAACCAGCGATCGTCCTGCCGAGCAGCTCGGGCACTGGGATCCCGAAGAAGGTGACACCGTCGCTCTGGGTGAAGCTACTGACATCGAATAACCCATCACCGGCACCAGCACGAGCAGCACGTACATGGCGTGATGGACACCCGCCAGCCAGTACCGCCTCGTGCCGGGGCAGCGGCGGCGGGTACGGCAGCCGGGTACGCGCAGATCGCCAGTTGGACCAGCACGACCAGCAACGCGAGCAGCCCGAAGCTCTTGTGCAGCGGATAGAAGTCGCCGAACTTTCGCGACGGCCTCGTCCGGCATCCGCGTCATCGTCCAGCCGGCGCAGATCATCCCAAGGATCAGACCGCGCGCCCAGTGGAGCCCGCGCAGCACCGCAGATAGCGATCGATCCGGTCCTGTTCGCCTTCGTCCATCGCCTACCGTCTTGATATGCCCGCGCGAATAACCGCCGTCGACGGTGATAGATTGGCCGGTGATCGCGGTCATCCCTGGCGCGGCGAGCATGGCGACGGCATCGGCGATCTCCTCGACCGACAGGATCCGGCGCATGGGGATCTCCGCGACATACGTCGCGGCGATCGCCGCCGGGTCGTGCCCGGTTTGGGCATGACGCGCGAACACCGCGTCGAGGTGTGGCGTCGCGACGATGCCGGGATGCACCGCGTTCACCGCGATGCCGTGCGCAAGCTGGTCGGACAGCACCTTGGTCAGATGGCTCACCGCGACGTTGCGCATCCCGCTCAGCGTGTCCGACGAGCGGCCCGTTAGCCCGCCGATATTGACGATGCGCCCCGCCCTGCGCTTCATCGCCAGCACGACGGCGCGCACATAGCGCAGATATCCACCGACCCAGGTATCGAGGTCGCCGACCAGCCCGTCGACATCGACATCCTCGATCGATCCGGCAACGCTGGCGGTGCTAGCCGCGCCAATTGACCAGCACATCGATCCGCCCGAACCGCTCCAGCGTCCAGTCTGCGAGTATCGACCGATCGTTGGTCGAGCGCGTCGGAGGATGGGCGTGGATGCGTGCGCCCGCCACCGTCCCCAGCGGCGCGGCGCGCGCGGTCACCACGACCTGCATGGCACGGGCGAGCGCGGCGGCGACGGCGCGACCGATATCGCCGCTGCCGCCGCCGGTGACGATCGCGACCGGCTCCGCGTGCGCCGTCATGGCAGCTCGGCACGGATCAGCAGCGGCCCGTCCTTCGCCGGGCCGCGCCGCAGCGCCTCCGCGAAGGCGGCGGGCGTCTCGACCCACACCGCCGGCACGCCGTAGCCGGCGGCCAGCGCGGTCCAGTCCGCGCGGGGGATTGTCGAGCCTCGTCAACCGCGCGACCGCCGACTGGTCGAGCGGCAATTCTGCCAGGTCAATTCGGTCCTGGAGGATGCCGTAGCGGTGGTTGGCGGCGATCACGATCGTCACCGGCAACCGCTCTCGCGCCATCGTCCACAGCGCCTGCAGCGTAATGCCCGCTGTTGTCCGACTGAGCGCGACGACACGCGCTCCCGCTGCGCGCCCGCCGACTGCGCAGGGTAGCCCCGACCGATCGCGCCGCCGGTATTGGTCATCACCCGATGCCGCGCGGCCCGATGCGCCCTGCCGCAAATAGGGGCCAGGAGGGTCGATCCTCCAGCGAGATCACGGCGTCCTCAGGCAGTTGGGCGACCAGCTCCTCGACGATCGCGTCGGCGGTCAGCCATACTCCCCGATGGCGGGGCACTCGGCCGACGCGGACCGGCGCGCCACCGCCGGCGCGCCCAGCCGATCGGCCAGAGCCTCCAGCGCGGCCCGCATTATCGTCCTCGCTGCGCCAGCACGGTCAGCCGGTCGACGGTCACCAGTTCGCTCGGATGCCCTTCATAGCCGAAATAGCTGATCGGCGCGCGCGCCCGGCCAGATCACCTGTGCCGTCCCGAACTGGCGAAGCACGTCGTCAGGGGAAATAGGCCTGCCGCTCGATCACCGGCAGGTCGCCGCCCAGCGACACGATCGCCGGATACGGCTCCATCACCAGCCGGATGCCGGTCGCCGCCGCCAGTCGCTGCGCGCGGCGCGCGCAGGCCCGCGTTCGGCCAGCGCGTTGCCGCCGAGCAGCAGGATACGCTCGCCCGCCCCGCCCGCCACCGCCGCAGCCGCATCGATCGCAGCGTCCAGCACGGTCGTCGCCGGCGGCCGCATGGTCGCCGCCACGGCGGGGGCACCGGGAACGGCGGCGTCCGCAGTGTCCGTCGGCGCAATGATCGTCGTCACTGCACCGGGCGCAGCGACCGCTGCGTCGAAGGCAGCGGCGACGTTTGGCGTCGATCGCCCCTGACTGATCCCATCCGCACCACCTGTCCCGACACGGGCTTCGCCAGCGATTCGATATCGGACGTCAGTGGCGCGTCGTAGCGCAGGTGCTGTGTCGCATGATCGCCGATGATGTTGACGATCGACGAATGCGCCCGCCGCGCATTGCAGATTGGCGATACCATTGGCGAAGCCCGGCCCCAGATGCAGCAGCGTCGCGCCACCTGTCCCCGACACGCGCGAATATCCATCCGCCGCCCGTACACCCCTCGAACAATCCCAGCACCGGGCGGATCGACGGCACGCGTTGCAGCGCATGGACGAGTCAACTCGGTCGTGCCGGGATTGGCGAAGCAGATCTCCGCCCGCGGCTCGCGCCGCCTCCAGCAGTGCCTGCGCTCCATTGCGGACTTCGCTCACCCCAAATCTCCCTGTTGCCGGTCTGGTCCAGGAAGTCGCGCACGATCCGGTGGAACGCATCATCGGCTGGTCGTCGTGGACGTAATGGCTGGCGTTCATCACCATCACTGCCGCAACCTGCGGGTTGCGCGCGCGCATCTCCATCACCGTATCAAGCGGGCAGAAATCCGAATTTGCGCCCCGGATCACCAGCGTCGGCACCGTGATCGCGTCGACCACCGGCCACAGATCGACGACCCGATCCGGATCGGGATCGAGCCGCGTGGCACTGATCCGGCGGCGTCGTAGCCAGCCGATCCGCCGTCGCGTGGGCACAGGCTTTCCGCGAGCCGCTGTTCCAGCCCCGCCTCGCCCACCGTCGGACGGGTACGCCGCCAATAGGCCCGCGCCTCGCTCCACGACGCGAAATCGAGCGGCAGCGCCGCCATCTCGGCGCGGATACGCGCGGCGCCGTCGCCACGCACCGACGATCCGGGCGCGATATCCTCGACAATCAGCGCGCGCAGCCGTTCGGGATGGCGGGCGGCGCCGACATAGGCGAGTGCACCGCCCATCGAATGACCGAGCAGCACGAAGCGATCGAGCGCCAGCGCCTCGACGACCGTTCCAGATCGGTCAGATAGGCGTCAGTGTAATAATTGCGCGCAGGTCCCAGTCGCTTTCGCCCCGGCCGCGCTGGTCGATCGCGATCAATCGATATTCGGGCAGCGCCCGCGATGATTGCCGCCGGTGCCGGAAAAAGCCGCGCAGGCCGTGCAGCAGCATCGATGGCCCGGCGCGCCCGCGTCGCCCCATTCGCGCACGCGCAGCCGCAGGTTGCCGGACTGGACGAACGCCGTGCGCTCACCCGCCAGCGTTTCCGGCGCGGCCGGCGCGCGATCAGACGGGGCGGCCGTGCCGATCACCGCAACCCGTCCTGCCGACCGCCCGGTCGGCCGTCAGGCCGCCGAGGCGCGGATGCAGCCGCCCGCGCGTAGCGACGCCATCGCCACCACCACCTCGTTCGCCAACGGCGCGTCGCCGAAGCTGACCGAAACGGTGTCGTAGTGCGAGCGAACGTACAGTGCATCCTTGTGCGCCAGCGGAATGTCGATCTCCGTCCCCGGCCCGCCCGCCTTTCCGGTCGACGGCACCTGGACTCGGCGCCACCCACCGCCCGGCGGATCGGGTTGGCGAAATCGGTGGTCAGGAAGGCGTTGCCATGCTCACATATTCGCCATTGACCCCGACGATCGCGGCCTTGCCGTAGCTGGCGGCCGCCCGCCCCGCGAGTGCGGCGACGATCCGCCGGCCGAATTCCTCGCCCAGCGCGCCGCCGACTTGGCGATCACCTCGAAAAAGTCGCTGGTGAAGCTGCCGGCATGTGGGTTGGCGATCGCCGCGGCGACGACGATCTTGAACACCGGCTCGCCATCGGCGAGCGAACCGCTCTCGATCGCCAGCGTCTCCCTCCTCGAACACATACCATTTGCGGATGTGCAGGCCGTGAAAATTTTCGGGCTTGGCGGACATGTCAGGACTCCTGAAGGCCGACGCGGGCAGGCGTTCGCCCGGGCCGTCGGCAGGGAAAAAAGTGTGTCGCGGCCGGGCGGCCGGACGTCTCAGCGTCTCAGCGGCTTCAGCTCGACCGGGTCGGCCTTGCCTCCGCCGCGACGGAATTCGGCGATCGTCGCCTCGCTGTGATCGGCGGTCGGCGCGAAAATCTCGAGCATGTGACCGTCGGGATCGTAGAAATACAGGCCGTGCGCGATGCCGTGGTCCAGCACCTCGCGATCCGCACCCCTTGTCGAGGAAGGTGGCATAGACGCGGCGCAGTTCCTGCACCTTGTCGCCGTCCAGTTCCAGCGCGATATGCTCGATCTCCTTGCCGCGTGTGGCATCAGGATCGCCGGGGGGCAACGCGATGTCATGGTCGTGATGACCGAAGGTCATGAACAGGCCGCCCTTGTACGGCCCGTCCGCCACGCGCGAGCTGACCTCCATGCCCAGCACGTCCTTGTACCCACGCCGCCGAGGCTTCCGGGTCGCGGACATAGAGCACGACATGCGCGATGCGCTTGATCCCAGGCGTGGACATGGACGCTTCCCTGATAGGCCGGCACCCGGGGAAGCCGGTGATGTCGGTGATCCTGTTGAACTCGCGCCATTCCTTCTGCCAGCTCCGGCCGCCGTCACGGCTGAGAACAGGTCGCCGAACTTGGTGCCGATCAGCAGGAAATCGGGATCGGCGGCATTGCCGCCTGCCGCCCACAGGCACGAATTGGGCGGACCGGCAGCTCGACCGGGTGGAAGGTCGCGCCCTTGTCGGTCGAGCGGAGCAGCGCGCCGATCGTACCCGGCGTCCCGTCGCCAATGCCTGAAAAAAGCTCGTCGCTGTCGGTCTTTCAGGAGGAAACGCGAATAGCGCATGCCCCAGCTGTCCTTCGCACCGCCCGTGTCCACGTCTTGCCGCCCGTCCTCGGAACGGTAGAGCGCGTTCACCACCAGCGCCAGCACCACCTTGGGCGTGCCCGGCAGGACGATGATGTTGTGGATGTCGGAGTTGCCCGCGGCGGTCGGCCAGCTGGTATCCAGCCGTTCCCAGTCGGTGCCGCCGTTGGTCGAATGGAACAGGCCACCCTCCCCGACCCCGGCCCAGACGTCGAGCGCATTGTCGGATCGACCGCCAGCGCCAGCATCCGCGGCCGGCTGACGCCCGCGCACTTGGCCGGCATCTGCAATGCCGTGCGCTCCACGTCCTGCCCGGCATCAGTCGACCGGAAGAAGATCGACGGCGTCGGCGAGCCGGTGCCGGCATACATGATGTCACTTGCCCGGCGCCACCGCCAGCTTCCCACCGCCATGTCGTTCAGCGCGCGCCATCGACGCGTGACCCGTGCAACGCCGCAGTCCTTGCTGTGGAACAGCCCGCGCTCCGCCCCGGCGAAGATCGACTGCGGATCGCGCGGATCCGCCAGCAGGCAGCGGACGCGGTCGTCATATTTCAGGTCCCGGTCGATGCCGATCCGGTGCCGTGTCTCGCCATCGTCGGGGCTGCGCATCACCGCACGCCGTCAGTAGATACCAGCAGGGTCTTTTCCGTGGCCATCTCGTCCCTCTCGTTCTTGTGTTGATGCAGGCGGTCGCGGACGTCCGCGATCAGCCCAGATTGACCCAGACGCTCTTGATCTCGCTGTAGAGCTCCATCGCCCGGGCGGCCATGCTCGCGCCCCCCAGCCGGACTGTTTGAAGCCGCCGAACAGCGATGCCGGATCGACCAGATTGAAACAGTTGATCCACACCGTCCCGGCTTCACCTGAGCGGCGATCCGTGTGCACTCTTCAGATCGTTGGTCCAGATTCCGGCGGACAGGCCGAATTCCAATCGTTGGCCTGTGCGATCAGGTCGTCCGTGTCGTCCCACGACAGCGCGCCCAGCACCGGGCGAAAGATTTCCTCGCGCACCACGCGCATGTCGCGCGTCGTGTCCGCCGAGGATCGTCGGCTGGAAGAAAAAGCCGCCGTCCAGTCCCGCATCCAGCCCCGCAGGCGCTGCCCGCCGGTGTGCAGCCGTGCGCCCTCATCCGCGCCGATCTGCACATACGAGCTGACCCGGTCCCACTGCTCCTGCGACACCAGCGGCCCGAAGTTCGTATCCGGGTCCAGCCTGTTGCCGATTTTCAGCTTGGCGGCGTGGCTGCGACCGCGTCCAGCAATTCGTCGTGATCGTGCGATGGGCATAGAGCCGCGAACCGGCGGTGCAGGTCTGACCTTGGTTGAAGAAGATGCCCGCTGCGATCGATGCCGCGGCGGCGGGAAATGTCAGCATCGGGCAGACGATCTGGGGCGACTTGCCGCCCAGTTCCAGCGACACCTTCTTCAAAATTGCCCGTCGCGGCGCGGGCGATCGCCTTGCCGACCTCGGTCGATCCGGTGAACGCCACCTTGTCGACGTCCGGATGATCGACCAGCGCCGCGCCGGCATCGCCGAACCCGGGCACGATATTGATGACGCCGGCGGGAAAGCCTGCCTCCAGCGCCAGTTCGCCCAGCCGCAGCGCGGTCAGCGGCGTCTGCTCGGCGGGTTTCAGTACCACGGTGCATCCCGCCGCAACCGCTGGCGCGATCTTCCATGCCGCCATCGACATCGGATAGTTCCACGGCACGATCAGCCCGGCCACCGACCGGTTCGCGCGTCGTATAGTTCAGAATCTTCAGCCCGCCGCGCGGACACCGGCAGCGTCTCGCCACCGAACTTGGTCGGCCAGCCGGCAAAATAGCGGAAGGTCTTGATCGAGCCCTCGACCTCCACCAGCCGGGTCAGCGTCGCCGGCTTGCCGTTGTCGAACTCCAGCACCGCCAACTCGTGCGCGTCGCGCTCGATCAGGTCAGCCAGCCGATAGAGCAACAGCGAGCGGTCGTTGGCGCCCATGTCGCGCCACGCCGGATTCTCGAACGCGCGCCGCGCCGCCTTCACGGCCAGATCGATATCCGCCGCCGCGCCATGCGCGACCTGCGCCAGTTCCTCGCCGGTCGCGGGATTGATCGTGATCCGTCCGACCCGGACTGCGCGTCGACCAGCTTGCCATCGATAAGCAGGCGGCGCGGCGCCTTTGCCAGTTCGCTGCCGAGTCGTGTCGCCACATCCACTGCCGAAAGCGTCGTCATCCTGCTCTCCCGTCGCGACTCCCCTTGAGTGAATCGCCGTGGCACACCTTCTACGCATGATGGTTTAGAGAAACAATAGGTAATTTAAAGCTTATCTGTTGCGTAATCGGTACAATCAGGGCATTCCCTTTCCATGCCCCTGTGCTCTCATCCGCGACCTTGCCGACGCGATCGCCGACGCCCATGCGCGGCACGAGGATCCTGCCCCTGCCACCCGCCCTGACACTGACGGACGGCTATGCGGTCCGGGCAGAGGTCGGCTGGCGTCGGCGGCGCGGTCGCAGCCTATAAGGTTGGGCTGACCAGCCCCGCCGCGCAGCAAGCGATGGGCACGCGCGAACCGATCGTCGGGCGGCTCCACGCCGCAGATATCCTGCATGTGGCAACGCGGTCGTTCCGTCCGGCACCCGGCCGCGCTTCGCCGAGGCGGAACTGGTGGTGGAGATCGGCCGCGACCTGCCGCCGAGCAACGCGCCCTATGATCGCGACCGGGTCGCGGCGGCGGGTCGCGGCGGTCCATGCCGGGATCGAACTGTGCAGTTCGCGCTATGCTGCCGAGGATGTCGATATCGGCGCACTGGTGGCCGACAACAGCAAGCAACGCTGAATGGCTGGTCGTCGGCGACCGCCTGTCGACCCGGTGGAGGATCGCTTTGCCGCGCTGGACGCGATACTGCTCCGCGACGGCATGCCGCCGGTGCGGGGCAGCACCGCCGCCGTGATGGGCGACCCCGCTGGCCGCGCTGACCGCTGGCGAACTGGCTGACCGCGCGCGGCGAAATGCTGCGCCGGGGCCAGTTCGTCGCGACCCGGCAGCTGCACCGGGATCACCGAAATCGCGCGCGAGACGCGGCTGTCCAGTCGCTTCGCCGACGGCGGCGAGGCCCATGTCCGGATCGGCGATCCGGCTGATCAAGGGAGGAGAAGGAATGAGCCTGAATCTGGGTATCGAGGTCGCACCGCGATCGTCACCGGCGGCAGCGTCGGCATCGGTAGGAAAAACGCACGCAAGCTGGCGCAGGCCGGGTCATCGACGATCGCCGCGCGGACGAAGGCGACGTTGGACGCGGCGGCTGAGGAACTGCGGGCCGACACCAGCGGGACGATCGACGCGATCACCGTCGACACCACCGATATGGCGTCGGTCCGCGCGCTGGTCGACGGCACCGCCGACCGCCATGGCGGCGTCCATATCCCGGTGAACTGTGCCGCCGCGCCCGGCGGCTGGTCCGTAACGCGATCGAGGAGGCGGATGAGAAGAATCTGCTGCCTGACCTCAACACCAAGCTGCTCGGCTATTTCCGGATGTGGCATGTGCGTGCCGCACATGCGGCAGGCGCAATGGGGCCGGATCGTCAATGTCGGCGGCCTGACCGCGCGTTGCACCGAGGCGTTGAGCGGGATGCGCAACACTGCCCTCGTCCATCTGACCAAGACGCTGTCCGACGAGGTCGGTCGCGACGGCATCACCGTCAACATCATCCACCCCGGCGTGACCCGTACCGAGCATGTCGAACACTGGTTCGCCGACATGGCGAAGGCGGAGGGATCACCTACGACGCGTTCGTGAAGCGCGAGGCGGGCGACCCCGCCGCGATCCGCCGGATGCTGGAGGTATCGGAGGTCGCCGATCCCATCGTGTTCCTCGCCTCGTCGCTGGGCAGCGGCATCACCGGGCGATCGATCGCGGTGGATGGCGGCCTGTCCGCGCGGTGTTCTTTGTGACGGGCGGGCGGCGTACGGCGCCGCCCCGTTTGACTTGGGATCGGCGGGATGCCCCATCCCGCCGATCCCACATATTTGATCCGAGATAATCCTCGATACCGTATTTCGAACCCTCGCGCCCCAGTCCCGACTGTTTGACGCCGCCGAACGGTGCGACCTCGGTGGAGATCAGGCCTTCGTTGATGCCGATGATCCCGCCTCAACCGCCTCGGCGACCCGGAACACGGGGCGACATCGCGGGTGTAGCAATAGGCGGCGAGCCCGAATTCGGTGTCGTTCGCCAGCGCGATCCCCTGTTCCTCGGTGTCGAAGCGGACGACCGCCGCCAGCGGGCCAACGTCTCGTCCCGAAAGCACTGCGTGTTTCAGGCGTCACGCCCGCCAGCACGGTCGGCGTGAAGAAGCTGTGGCCGAGCGGGTGGCGTGCGCCGCCCTCCACCACGCGGGCGCCCAAAGGCGACCGCATCCGCAATATGCGCCTCCACCTTGGCGACGGCGTCGGCGTCGATCAGCAGGCCGATCTGCACCCCCGCGCCCCCGCCCGTCTCCGACACGCAACGCTGCCACCCGCTTTGCCAGCGCCGCGACGAAGCGGTCGTGGATACCCGCCTGCACGAGGAAGCGGTTGGCGCAGACGCAGGTCTGGCCGGCATTGCGGAACTTGGCGATCATCGCGCCGTCGACCGCCGCCTCCAGATCGGCATCGTCGAAGACCGTAGAAGGGCGCGTTGCCGCCCAGCTCCATCGACGTCTTCTTGATCGTCGGCGCACATTGCGCCAGCAGCGTGGCGCCAACTGCGGTCGATCCGGTGAAGGACAGTTTGCGTATCACCGGGCTGTCGCAGATCGCCTTGCTCATCGGTCCGGCCGATCCGGTGACGATGTTGCACGCCGGCGGGCAGGCCTGCCCGCCTGCTCCGCCAGCACGCCCAGCGCCAGTGCCGAGAAGGGCGTGGCGGAAGCGGGGCGGACGATTCGGTACATCCGCCGCCCAGCCGGGCCCGACCTTGCGCGTCATCATCGCGGCCGGAAGTTCACGGCGTGATCGCGGCGAACACCCCTGATCGGTTGCTTGAAGGTCAGGATCCGGCGGCCGGGCGCATTGGGCGGATCACGTCGCCATAGATCCGCTTGCCCTCCTCCGCGAACCATTCGATGAAGCCGGCGGCGTAGCGGATCTCGCCCTTCGCATCGGCAGAGCGGCTTGCCCTGCTCGGCGGTCATGATGGCGGCCCAGATCGTCGATATGCGCCAGCATCAGCTCGAACAGGCGGCGCAGCGGGACCGCGCGTTCGGCGGCGGTCAGCCGGCTCCAGCCGGAAAGGCCGCCGCTGCCGCCGCGATTGCACGCTCCGTCTCGGCTGCCCCTAAGTTGGGGACGTGACCGATCGTCTCGCCGGTCGCCGGGTTGGTGACGGCGAAGGTGCCGCCGCCATCGGCCTCGACCCATTCCCCGCCGATCAGCGCCGCCCGGCGAAAAAGGTCGGGGTCGGTGGAGTGTCAGCGCGGTCATAGCGAATTCCGGACAGAATGGGGTCGAATGGCGAAGATGGTCAGCATCAAACTGGCGGCGATCACCGCGCAGCTCGCCCATAAAGGCGAGGGTATAGCCGCCCGACGCCAGCGTCATGCCGACGGCGGCGGGGCCGAAGCCCATGCCGAACGTCTGATCGATCCCATCGCGCAGACCACCCGGCCCTCGCAATCGGCGTCGCAACAGATACCGACAGCAGCGGCTGCGCGAAGTTCCACGACATCAGCAGCAGCACCATCGCGATGGCGAAGGCGGTGGACGACACGCTGCCGACCAGCAGCAAATAGCTGACGACCGTTACTGCGCCGCTGATCGCCAGCGGCCCGCCCCCCGGCCCGGCGTGCGCGGCAGCAGGCCCGCCAAGGCCGCGCCGCCCATCCCGGCGAAGGTGCCCAGCGACAGGCCGTGCGCGATCTGTTGCGCATCCAGCCCGCTCGCACGGCCGATCCGTTCGCTATGGCTCCACACCGCGCTGATCGCGAAGAAATAGAAGAACACGGATATCAGCGACAGTGTCGCCAGCCGCCGGTCGGAGAGCCCGCCGCCACTGCCAAATTCGGCGTCCTGCTCCAGCCGGCGGCCGTGCGGAAACCATTTCAGGCCCAGCGCGACCAGCGCCGCCAGTGCGGCATTGGCAACGAACAGCATCCTCGGCCCGATCTGCGCCTCGGCCAGCGGCAGCGCAGCAGGATCCCGGCCCCCTGATCAGCGCGCCGAGCACCAGATAGACGGCGAAGGTCCGGTCCGGATTGGCCGCCTTGCCGAACGCCGCGAAGGCGAAGCCGACCGCGATCCCCCTCCCCGCGCCGGCCACCACCCGCGCTGCCGCGATCGCGGCATAGTCATGGGCGGCTGCGGTCGCCAGATTGCCGAGCACGAGCAGCGCCAGCCCGACGCCAACGCTGATCCGCCAGTCCCAGCGCGCGGCAGCAGGAAAAGTGCTGACCCTGATCATCGCGGCCATCGCATTGATGTCCCATGCGGCGATATAGCCCAGTTGCCGGTCGTCCAGCCCCGCCTGCGCCGCGATCAGCGCCGAGAAGCCGGGTGACGAGGATCACCAGCGCGCCGACGATCCCGACCGCGATCGCCGAGGCAAGCGCGGCATATCCGATCATCGGCCCGGTCGCCGGCTTGCCGCCGGCGGGGCGGCGAGCGGCGGCGCCGCCATCGCGCCCCCGCCCCGTCGGCCATCAGCCGATATCCGCGCGGACCGCGTCGACCGCGGCCTAGGGTCGTGACCAGCGTGTCGACCGACTCGGTCGATGACCAGTGGCGGCGCGAACACCAGCGTATCGCCCAGCGCCCGGGATGAGCCCGCGGTCCGCCGCCGCCTTCAGCACCTGCCGCCCGGTACGCTGCGCCATCGGAAAGGCTTCCTTCGTCGCGCGATCCCCACCAGCCTGATGCCGATCATCAGCCCGCGCCCACGGATTTCGCCCACCATCGGATGGTCACCCAGCGCCTCGTGCACCCGCCGGTGGAGATAGGGCCCGACATCGGCGGCGTTCTCCACCACCTTGTCCTCGTCGATCGCGCGCAGCGTCGCAGAGCCGGCGGCGGCGCGACCGATGCGCCGAATAGGTATAGCCATGGCCGAACAGCCCGGCGACGTCCTTCTGCGCCTCGAACACGTCCCACAGCTTGGGCGAGATGTAACAGACCGACATCGGGAAATAGCCGCCGGTCACGCCCTTCGCCGCGGTGATGAGGTCGGGCTCCAGCCATAGGTCTGCGCGCCCCAATAGGTGCCGAGCCGCCCGAAGCCGGACACCACCTCGTCCATCACCAGCAGGATGTCGTGGCGCTTCCAGGATCGGCGTGATCTCCTCCCAATAGCTCCGGCGTGGTGATCAGGCCGCCCGCGCCCATCACCGGCTCCGCGAAGAAGGCGGCGATGGTGTCGGCGCCTCCCGCTCGATCAGCGCTTCCAGCTCGGCGGCAAGCGATTTCGAGAATTCTCGCCCGTCATCCCCTCGCCGCCGCCTTTGCGGTAGTGATGCGGCGCGGTCACGTGCAGGATCGGGCCCAGTGGCAGGTCGAACAGCGCGTATCCCGGCAGGCCGGTCAGGCCGGCGGTCATCACCGCCGATCCGTGATAGGCGTTCCAGCGCGCAATGATCTTCTTCTTCTGCGGCCGTCCGAGCAGGTTGTTGTAATACCAGATCAGCTTGATCTGCGTCTCGTTGGCATCGCCGCCCGACGCGCCGAAGAATACACGCGACATCTTCACTGGCGCGCGCTTCAGCAGTTCGTCGGCGCACTCGATCGCCACGTCCGTCGACATGCTGTTGAACGTGGAAGAACGACAGCCGCCGCTCTGTTCCGCGATCGCGTCAACGA